GGCAAGCCTGAGCCGGCCCTAACTATAAAGTTTATCAAAGAGGAAAGTCTTAAGTGTAGTCTTAAATGTGGAGACAGTGTCTGCCTCCCGGACTGTAACAGGATGATGATTCCACAGGAGAAGAGCCTGATAGCTGAAGGCTCTGGCTCCTGATCTACTTTTGGAGACTTTAGGGACCACGAGTAACCCTGCGTTCTCAGAGCACAGTGTTCTGGTGGGATTATAAGGCACTATGAGCTCTCTAAGATATGACGGAGCTTGACCATTTAGAGCTTTATAAGTTAACAGTAGGATTTTAAATTCAATTCTGGATTTTACAGGGAGCCAGTGCAGAGAAGCTAAACCAGGAGAAATATGATGTCGTTTCTTAGTTCCTGTTAGTACATGTGCTGCTGCATTCTGAATTAGCTGGAGAGTTTTTAAGGACTTACTAGAGCAACCTGATAATAGAGAGTTACAGTAATCCAGCCTTGAGGTAACAAAAGCGAGGACCAATTTTTCTGCATCTTTTCTGGTCAGGATAGGCCTAATTTTCGCAATATTACTCAGATGAAAAAATGCAGTCCGTGAGGTTTGTTTTAAATGAGAATTAAAAGACAAATCTTGATCAAATGTTACTCCGAGGTTTCTTACGGTAGTGCTAGAGGCCAGAGCAATGCCATCTAGAGAAACTATGTCATCAGATAAAGAGTCTCTGAGTTGTTTGGGGCCAAGAACAATAATTTCAGTTTTGTCTGAATTTAACATCAGGAAATTGGTGCTCATCCAGGTTTTTATGTCTTTAAGGCAGTTATGGAGTTTAGTTAATTGATTACTTTCTTCTGGCTTCATCGATAAATACAACTGTGTATCATCCGCATAACAATGGAAATTTATAGAGTGATTTCTAATAATGTTGCATAAAGGTACGTAAGGATGATTCATTATGAACGTCAACAAACTGAAAACGATCATATAAATAAGATTTAAACCAGCTTAGTGCAGAACCTTTTAGGCCAATTAAGTGTTCCAGTCTCTGTAGCAGAATTTGATGGTCAATAGTGTCAAACGCCGCACTAAGATCTAATAAAAGTACAGAGACGAGTCCTTTGTCTGAAGCAATCAGAAGGTCATTTGTAATTTTAACTAGTGCTGTCTCAGTACTATGATGCACTCTAAATCCTGACTGTAATTCCTCAAATAAATTATTATCATGGAGAAAATCACACAGCTGGTCTGCGACTACTTTCTCAAGGATCTTTGACATAAAGAGAAGATTAGATATTGGTCTATAGTTGGCTAACACCTCTGGATCCAGGGTGGGCTTTTTTAGTAGAGGTTTAATTACAGCTACCTTAAAAGACATACATAGCCTGTTAATAAGGATATATTGATCATATCTAATATATGAATGTTAACTAAAGGAAAGACCTCCTTAAGTAGCCTAGTTGGGATGGGGTCTAAGAGACACGTTGATGATTTAGATGAAGAAATCACTGCGGTCAATTCTTGAAGAGAAATTGGGGAGAAGCAATCTAAATATATATTAGGTCTTACAACTGTGTTTGAGGTGAGATAGGTAGGCCTACTATCTAAGGACAGGAGGTCATGAATTTTGCCTCTAATAGTTAGAATTTTGTCATTAAAAAAGCTCATAAAATCATTACTGCTAAGGGCTAAAGGAATACAAGGCTCAATAGAGCTTTGACTCTCAGTCAGCCTGGCTACAGTGCTGAAAAGAAACCTGGGGTTATTCTTGTTTTCTTCTTTTAAAGCTGAGTAATAGTTTGCTCTGGCATTGCGGAGGCCCGTCTTATAAGTTTTGAGACTGTCTGCCCAGATTAAACGAGATTCTTCCACTTTGGTTAATCGCCAATTCCTTTCAAACTTTCGCAATATTTGTTTTAACTTACGGGTTTGAGAGTTATACCAAGGAGCGAACTTTCTTTGCTTTGTTAACTTCTTTTTAAGAGGAGCTACAGAGTCGAGTGTTGTTCGCAGCGAGCCTACGGCGCTATCGACAAAATGATCAATTCGATCATTCTGTTTCTCTCTGAATCAGTCTGGACTCACTGCCACCCAAAATACTTTCAGTGGGCAGGAGTGCTCGCCTTGACAGACAAGAACATCCTGCAGCACCTCCTGGAGAGCTCTCTCTTCGTTACAGCCCGAGAGGTGTAAGGTCCACGCCTAGTCAGTTTCCTTCATTGGTTACATTGCTGCTCAAGGAAGCATGCAGATGGACACTGAGAGGGTGTCAGCAGCCATGTCGCCCTTTCCTGTCTCCTGCAAGCAGTTTCAATGCTTCCCTGAGCTTCGTCAACCAGGGGTTTGCCAAATTATCTCCTTCACAATAATACCGGTATTTTTTTTAATATCACATGAAAAATTCATATCGTGATATTCGCGATATTTGTACTTGTTGACATATGAAGTCATACTGTTACCCACGGCAACAACAAGCATGGCCGAAAGCAAAATTAGCAACTCCGCGGTGGTTTCAAAAAGAGGAGCAGCTTCAGTAGTGTGGAATAAACTGTGGGGGCGTTAGGCGTCCTGAATGTTTTATGAACAGCTCTGGATTTCGCAGACTCTTCAGCAAGTTACCGCATGTTTCCCTCCGTTCAGAGGGAACAGTGGCTCCACCATGGTGAAGTTAGTTTGACGTTGGATATTCGGATATTCATTTTGGGTTCAACAGTGACTTCCACCTCCCTCTCATAGGCAGAAAACAATGAGCAACATAGAGTAGGGCTAATAGGGCAAAAAAAAGTCTATTTTCTTCAATAGCGTTCACATCACTGGACCCAGACACCCCACACCAATGTAGAATGGTTTGGCCAAGTGGGCCTAATAAGGCACACCTCTTAATAAATGGGTTTCATGCTCTTTCTATTTTATACAATTTTTTTAAACAAACTCCATTGGTTTTCTATGGGAAAAGCCTATTTTCTTCAGTAGCTTTCACATTACTGGACCCAGACACCCCACACCAATGCAGAGTGGTTTGGTCAAATGGGCCTAATAATGCACACCTCTTTATAAATGTGTTTCATACTCTTTCTATTTTATAGGAATGTTTTAAACAAACTCCATTGGTTTTCTATGGAAAAACTCTATTTTCTTCAATAGCTTTCACATTACTGGACCCAGACACCCCACACCAATGTAGAATGGATTGGCCAAGTGGGTCTATATTTGGGAGCTGTTTAAATGTGTAATTAGTGGTAGATTTTATTTTGTTGTACTATTAATATTGAATACAGAATCTGAATCTCACTCTGAGTAGTCTCGCTCACCAGACCTTTCTCAAGAAAAGAAAGGTCTGGCTGGGCCGACTCACTGTGAGATTGGAGGAAAAAAAACGCCCCGGCTGCTTGTACTTCTTTCAACCAATCACAATCGTTCTGGGCGGTGCCACAGCAACGGTGCGCTTGCAAAAATATTGCCGGGGGGAAACAGGTTTTGGTGTAACACACCCACAAAAATATCACCTACAGGACGCAAACCATGGCAGAAAAATGGCTACATCCCCGCAAGATCAAACACCGCAAAAGTTAGTAAAGGACGGGCTGAAAACGGTTGAAAACTGCTACACAACCAGAAGTGGTAGGGCGGGACCCAATGAGAGGCTGATCTCTGCAGCAAACTTCCACCCACTCAGACTACACTCTGAGTTACTGTTGAGAAACCATTTTTGTTCAGTAAACTGTTAGGTTAACATGTTAAACTATATCACTTATTTGTCACAATACTGTTTTCTTAAATTAATAATAATGATAATGATAATAATACACACACACACACACACATATAGTACTAATTTGTCATATTGTCAAGAATATTATCGCAAAAATACCCTGAAATATTGTGATATTATTTATATCATCCACCCCTATCGCCAACTTTTATCAGAGATTTATACGCAGCTGCAGCACTGTGATCGCTCCTCTTACTGTGCTGACATCTTCAACTGTGCCATTCCAGTGGACTACAGCAGCTGACAGAGCCCATATCACTTATTGCTTTCCACCATCAGATGGTAACACAGTTACATGCTCTGAGTGCCTTAGATTCTGCTTTTTGAAAATGGTAACACAGTTATTGACCATGGTGGACCAGTTCAGCGGGATGGCGCACTTTGTGCCCCTCCCCAAGCTACCATCAGCAAAGGAGAAAACTGCAACACATCTTCAACACAACACAGTTTCTCTCTGTCTCCTCCCTCTTTTTAGAGCCAGACATGCAGTTGTATATCCTCATTGATTCAGTCCATATCAAATTAATTAGCAGGGTTTGTTGTATGTCAGAATCAAAATTCTGATTAGATATTAGTTTGTTGCTCAAAGCCATCTGAAGTTATCGCATTTGTGTGCGGTCAGCCATTTCTTTGAACACTGGCTTTTGTCCTCACATTTAAATTTTACACAGCATCAAGTGACCCCTAATGTAGTGTAATGTACAGATAATCTGCATATGTATGCTTTATTGTTGTCAGATGATGAGGACAAGGCTGAATTTTCAAAATAAATGCCCCAAGATGGTTACATAAGTTTACGGGAGGTCCTCGACAGAGCGAAATTTTAAAAATAAAAGCCTTCAATTGGTAATATGAACTATTCAAATGTCAAAACATTATGCTCTTTAAGGACATCTTTGCTTGTATTTAACTGTTTTCAGTGTTTTATGTCTTTTTACGTTCAAAGTATTTCTTCCCCTTTGACAGTATTACAGTTCAGCTTTGAGGTGATGCAGTTTAGCTTCCATTTCTGCCAGATTTACATATCTTTCAGACAATACATTTTAGATTTCTGCATTTTCAGCACTATTTTTGAATTCCATTGAACTCAGCATTCGTTTTCTGCAGGAAATGCATTTTCTAGTTTCATGTGAGTACTGAAAAACTTGACTGCACTACTTTCATCAGGACTGCTGCTTTGCTGTTCCATACAAATTTTAGATGCCTGTTTTTTAGTGAAAGACTAATTTCAATTGGTGAAATATGACCAGTCACAAATCTATTATTGTATTAAGAAAACTTTATGTATAAAAAAAAAAAATCAAAATTAACAAAGCATTTGTAATAAAGAAACATTGGAGGTAACTGCAAAACGTGTTTTGACATTGCAATGTGATAAAGATGTCAACTGACTTATTGATAACTCATTGACCATGCCCTCAGAGGGTGATGTGGCTTTGGCTGGCTACCTGGATTTTTCCCTTGATCATTTGTAATTTCATTACTCAAATGGAAATACAAAACAGTGAACTTTAACTGAAGCAGTAGGACAAACTCCACAAAAAATAATTAAACAAAAAACTGAAAACTATGAAGTACCATACATTGCCAAAATTGCACAAATGTTACTGATACAACTGCAAACATCTGTGTACATATTCAGTGTCACCCAGCAAGCTTTACTCTAGGCTGATATATCTGCAAAAAATCTATAAATCAGAACTGAAACTGATGATGTGGCTCCACAACTCAATGAACAGAAAAACTAAAGGCATAGTTAGTTTTTAGCCTAGAACTAAACAAGGATCTAAAAAACAAGCAGACATAGAGTTTATTTATTCAAAATGGGGAACTCGTGTATAAAAAAAACAAACTCATCCTCTGGCTTCTGCGCAGTGGCCATTAACTGCTTATAGCACTGCACTGACTAAATCACAGTCCCCATGCTCATAAAAACAAACAAACAAAAAAATAAATCATCAGTAGACCCACAGATGTTTTTCTGGCTGTGCTATATTTTCCCTGGGATGCAGTCATTTATCAGTTCATGCTTAACATTGATCTAACATTCACATGACGATATGTGCAGCCACCCATCCATACTATTCATTCTTTGGTACATTTACAGCATGTCATCTTCACCTCCTCCGTACATGTCAGCTAGTTTCTTGAAGCGGGGTCCCCACTCATTGAGGCAGTCATAGTCCTGGTCTCCGCTGCTCGATGAGTTCAAAGAGGAGAGGCTTCCTGCATCAGAGCCACCTCCTTCATAGTCAAATACCAACAGGGAGTCATAGGGGGGTGCTGTTGGGTCGTTGTCGGCTGCCTTCAGGTTCTGAGAGAGGAGCAGAGGATTATGTTCTCATTTTACAGACCTTCAGTTTTTATATAAAGCCTAATCAAATCAGTATCAAACCATATTTGACAACCTGAATTACTGCTTTGTGGTTGTTTACTTTCCAAACAAGTCAAGCTGCAGTTACAGTTTACAATCGTGTCTGTGAAAACACGGATGCTTCACACACATCTCCCCCCCCCCCCGACAACACAGAAAATCTATACAATCTGCACAGTTCAGGATAAGTGTTACCGATTCAATATCTGACCAAATGTCTCCTCCATTGTTCCTGATTTATGACGCTGTGCCATAGCCAGATAAGTGTTGAAAAGAACATTATGATGTGATGTGAAGAGAACACAGTAAACACAGCGAAGTTGACCTTTGACCTTTTGAATATTTAATATTATGACTCTGACCACCAAATTCTAATCAGTTCACTCTTGAGTCCAAGTAGACGTTTGTGTCAAAGTTGAGAAAATTCCCTCAAGGCTTAAATATCGTGTTCACAAGAATTAGACGGACACAAGGTCACAGTGACCTTAACAGTCAAAATTTAGTCAGTTCATCTTTGAGTCAAAGTGGATATTTGTGCCAAATTAGAAGAAATTACTTCAAGACGTTCTTGAGATGATTGCATTCACAAGAATGGGATGGACAGATGTATGTATGGACATACAACCCAAAAACATAATGCCTCTGGCCATGGCTAACACTGTTGCAGAGGCATAATCATGTGATGACAAATAAATATGGCCATAAACAAACTGCACCAAAAGAAGCCTCATTATCTGAATTCAATAATTTTAAATCTTGTGTTGACCCACAGTCTATAACATAAGGAGACACTGTACTTTTGCTCTGATAAAGGGGGCTGGAGACTCTCACTGGGACAATTTTGAAAATGCTCTGGAGCAGATTTTGGAGTTTGGCCACATGGGATTGTCTGTGATTTCAAACAAATATTTACTGAACCTCCTCAGAAACACACTCATTTATAACAGCAGTGACAAATTACATATTTTAACCACGTTAGATTTTATTGTGTTGGAATAAGCTCTCAGATCTTTGACTCACATCATCAATGAAGTTGCCAATTTCCTCTGGGTTGGCGGGGCGAGGTCGGTACTGAGGAGCCGGCATGAAGTTTGGGATCATGTCGTTTCTTAACACCTCAGGCCGGTTGTCCAGACCACGGTGGAGAACACTCAGATCATAGTCCTGGTGGCGAACACATGTAGGGGTTTACACATGAGATACTGCATCTTTCATTTCAACTCAAACATCTCTTTCTGCATTTATATAATAAATGTAATCCATGTTTCTGGTAGTGATGTTTTTATATGAAACATACTTTTGTCTCCTGCTGCTAATCTACACACAAAGACACACACATCAAAACTGTAATCCATAATCCTTTATGCAGACATTTTATCAGGCCTACATGGATAATTGTATACCATCACTAGTAGTGGTGGGCAATATAGTTTGAATCAATATCAGGATAATATAAGGATATCTTTGTGACAGCTATATATGAGGCAAATCAATGCAAAATCACATACAGAATGATATAGTTGATCTCTGATGCAATGAGCTGTGTCCCACTGATGATTACATTTATTCAGTACTGTACTTATGTACACCTTACATGAGTTTTTCCATTTATGCTACTTCATATCGCTACACCACTACATTTCAGTGTGAAATACTGTACTTTTCCCACCACTGTATTTATCTGATAGTGTATTCATTTTGAAGATTAGTATTTTACATTAAAATTGGCTCCACCTCAACTACCTAAAACACTGAAATTCTGCCAACATGCAGCTTACAATGTTAATAATCCAGTCAAATAAAATGATAATAAAATAAATACTGACACTCTGACAGAGGGTTTTTGTCTGCAACAGGAATTTGTAGCGTGGTGTTGCTGCTTTTAAAGGATTCTTGAATACTTCTTAGACAACTGTCCACTTTGCATTACAAAACTCTTAGTGTGTTACAATTAGCTTGAAATTATGGATTTATTATTAAATTCTGGTGTTTTACCACGACAGAGGATCATACTGAAATATCATCCGACCCTAATCACTAATGCACTGACTCTGCTTCCGTTGGGTTTTCCTCCAGGAGATGTAAGCAGAGGTGCAGCTTTCATTAAACAACCATTTGATCAGAGATACTGATGATCTACAAAGATTTGAAATCAGTCTAACTGCTAAAAATCAGTCTTCAGGGTGCCTGACCAGCAGTGTTGCTCGACTGTGACTGACTGGCCCATCTGCCTGCATCAATTCCAGACTGCAAATGCAGCCAATGTTTTCTCTTCCTTACACTGATGTATTGCCTTGATTATTTTAAGTAATGGTTTGATGCATAAGTCAGGGCTTAAAGGGGGGGGGGGCTGCGACATTTGCACTAGAGTGCGGCACGGGCCGCATATTTCTGTCCGAACCCGTCTGAGCCCTAGTGTATAGTACCCGAACCCTTCTGAACCCGACAGTCATTCTGTTTTGTTATGTCCAAAACTGAATCGAGCCCGACATTATTTAGGCTAATTACTAAAGCACTGAGTTTGTGTCACACAGTTGTTATGGTTACAGGCTATGTAACCCGGTTACACCGTAAAAAGGCATTGATTTGTGCTATTGTGTTAGTAGATTGTTTAAACAAAACACACATTACGCGGTATCATCAGCAGTTAAAAATATAATAGCCGTTCTCACTGGAGCAGCTGAGTGTGTGGGAGCCCGGCGGAGGTTTGCGAGCTTGGCTAGAGGGTGTTGAAGTGTGCGCAGCCCAGTTCTGTGCTCTGGCCCGTCAGGAGAACCACGAACTGACCGAACTGCTACAGAACTACTGGCGCTGCCGCAGACAGCTGACCCAGTCACACACACAGCTACATACACAGTCCTCTGACTGCAAGAGCACTCAGAATCGTCTCTGGAGCTTCAGAGATGAACAACAGAAACAGCCAATGTGTGTGTGTGTGTGTGTGTGTGTGTGTTGTGTTCAGGTGTTCAATCAATCAATCAATTAATCAATCAATTTTATTTATAAAGCCCAATATCACAAATCACAATTTGCCTCACAGGGCTTTACAGCATACAACATCCCTCTGTCCTTAGGACCCTCGCAGCGGATAAGGAAAAACTCCCCCCAAAAAACCCTTTAACAGGGGGGAAAAAAGGTAGAAACCTCAGGAAGAGCAACTGAGGAGGGATCCCTCTTCCAGGACAGACAGACATGCAAAGTGTTACGTGTTGTCACGTAAATAACACTCCCCAAGCATTAAATAGGACACACAATAGGATTTTATTTATTTTTACACTACATTTTCACTGAAAGCTGACCGAATCCGACCCGAGCCCGAATAAAAATTTATACATTTTTGACCGAGCCCGGCCCGACCTGTCGGGTACCGTCGGGACCCGTCGGGCTCAGACCGGGTAGCCACACTCTAATTTGCACAGCGGCAATCTTTGTCAGTCGTCCTCAGAAGAGGTCCGTCCATAATTTTGCGCCCTCCTCGAGCCGTGCCCACCTCCATTTATTTTCCACCCCTCTCTCCAGTTCTGCTGTATTAACACCAGGTTTGATATATTTTGCTTCCATCTCTCTGCCCTGCTCTACTCTACTTCAACACTACTTGGCTCTCTCTCTCTACTCTACCGGTAGACTACCGCATCCACCTGTTGCACAAAACACACACAGCAGTGTTTCCCCTAGGATGGAGTTGTAGCAGCAGAGGTGAAGCACACGCATGAAAAAAAAATTTCACATGCGTGAAACTTTTTTGTATGCTTGCAAAGCACAGCCTGCTGGCATGTTTCTATGTATCTACTGGCACCAGAAGGGCACTTTAGGACTAAGTACATACAGTATATTTGTGCACAGTAATGAGCAGGTGAAATGTCTGTGTAGCTTACATATGAAGTGTCTCAAGATTTAGGAAAATACAATTTTATTGAACATAAAAGTAAAAAGTCACTTGACATGCTGCTGTTTATGACCCATTCAAGTGCTGGAAGTTGTTATTTACGTGACAACGCCTGACCACAACACTGGCCCCGCTCCAACAGTGCCGTGCTGCGCTGCTGTGCAAGCAGCGTGTTTGTCTGTGCATAACAGCAGTCTGTTGATGGTTATTTACACACTTATTTACACACTGTCCGTAACAATAACTTTGTCAGCTGACAAACTGCGCCGGGCTAAGGGTCAGGTTTGGTCAGGAAAATGTGGCCCGAGCCACACTCTAGCGTGCTCACCTGTGTGTGTGGCGGAACTCCGCCGTGCACAATACAGAGAGCAGAGGAGAATTGTTAACACGTGACCATGTAGAGACAGAAATGACACGATGACATAACACCATAAATAGTATATTGCTTATTGATAAGACAGAGCCCTCTCCTCTCCTCTTATATATATTAGTTTACTCACAAGTGTGTGAAGTGACCTGGATATGAAGCATCGGTAGCGCCAAATACACTGCACGGCATGCTGTTTTCTCTCAGTGTCCGATAGCTGGCGGTCAAGCTAACACAAGCTAATCATTCAAATGCAGTTCACTTGTCCTTTTCTGTTGCACATTCACCCACACTCATTTGGATATCAGGCTGTTACTGACTACAACATGTGCTTGGAAGTAGTGTGTGTTGAAACCCTGTCCGTGTGTGTGTGTGTGTGTGTGTGTGTGTGTGTGTGTTTGCTGTTTTTAGACCCTCCCCACTGAGCTCTTATTGGCCAGCTGAGCTTGATAATACTATACTATTGGTGGAACTACGCATGTGCTTCCCTGAAAATCAGAAGATGATTCGTTAAATGCTAACTTATGCCAAGTTGTTGCCACATTAAAAAAAAAAAAAAAAAAAACTAGAAATGTCCGTCAAGC